AGATAGTATTTTACTTAAATCTTCACGGATGGTCCTAGTTTGGCAACCCCGGATGAGGAATATAGTCATTGTTTCATTTGATATGTAACTCATCGTATATAGTTATAAGACTCTGCTTCTCATTTTTCTTTCCATTTCAAAAAAGGTACGAAACTGGTGGTGTTTTTGTGCATTGACTGAAAAACTTCTAGATTTCCACCAAAGCTTCTCCGAGACAATAAACATTCCTTTCTGAAAACTTAAGAGATTCACTTTGAGTCAGTTACAATAAGACTGGTCTAAACAGACCCCAAAAATGGCTTGTCTCCAGAAGTTGTGGGTGGAGGTTTGTAAGAAGAGATGGGACAACCATTTGTCTGAAATGGCATAGGGCGTCCCACTCCAGGGTCCCTTCCAACTGTGTTATTCTGTATATACCAAGGATTTCTTGACTTATGAAAGCTTCTTCTCTTCTTAACTTTAAGGTCAACATTTTTCATTCCAGGATGTCAGCAAAACACATAATGTTGAGGATTGCTGGCACCACATCTGTTCAGGAAAAGCTAGTTGGTGGGTATTCCTGCTGAATGCAATGAAGTAATATTGCTTCTAAGAATAATTCCATTGGAAATGAGGTTGGCCAACTGCCTGATGAAACTATGCTATTCAGCTGAGTTTGGGAGATGATTGTGAATTAATCATTCATAAATGTTTGTATCATCAAAGACAGGGCGCTATTACTTTAAAGGATCTCGGGAAGCTTCCCATAGAAATGTATCGACTCAGCAAGATAACAACCCCACCATCTCAAACAAAATTCTCAAATGTGCCCCCAGGCCATCCGATGAATACTATAAAGGGTTCGTCCCCCAGAATTTCATCCATCTCCACATCTCCTTCGAGGATTCGGGTAAGTGCTCTCAGGATCTGGGGTATCTTGGTGCGTTTCTATGTTCAGGTGCATGCAAATGTTTGGTGATATCTCTTAGGATTTGATTCTTCTCCCGTTTTAGTGATTCTACTGGAATGAATTGTGATTCTGTAGCTTCCAAGAGCTTCTTGGATTTAATTTTTGGTTTTAAAGGTAGGGGAATCAGCACAAGAGGTTTAATGATCTAAGGTTTCTTCTCAGCAAGGAAGTGTTAAAGGGACTCGAGGATTAGATGAGTGCAGATCATCACGGTCCAGTCCATTATCTTCTAAAATGTCTCTAGAAAATTCGAAGGTCCCTCATACATTCTAGAACAAAACTATCCTCGGCCACTTCATGTTTCCATCACCTTCCAAAACATGAAGTCATTCCTGAGCCATCATTACAATCTCTGCTCATGGTGTTAGAAGCCTAGTTTTTTTTTTTAAATCAGGTCCAACTTAGTCCTTCTATGCTCTGTCCGAGACAGATCAAGCAGCTTCATTGATACATAATTAGGATTAAACTTGATTAGGTTTTGGTGGTGGGTGTGGGTGACTTAGGGTACTCACCCATAAAGCCCAATCTGGCTCAGGGCTTGGGTATCTACAAGATGAGCTATCTCAGGCGGGTTCTATCTACCATGACTGGATAACCCAAGTGCCTCTTGAAGGTTATTACCTCCTAAGAAAGGTGGTTGGAGAAGGTGGTGAGAGAAGAAACATCTTGTGGAGATGTTTCTTTAGAGGTGAGGGTGTTTCCCACTCTTGAGCTTGTATAAACTTGGCTTTCAGGATGATTCATAATCTACACAATGCTTGGATGTTATTGCGCCTATTGTTTGCCTTAGCGTCGTTTGCTGCTATTCTTTCTAATGTCCTCTAAAGGTGGAAGCAATTAAGAATTCCAACATCAAGAAATACACCCTACTGTGCATATCCTAAACTCTGAACACGGAGTAAATTATAACTTAATTATACATATTTGGAATGTACTGCATGCATCTTAAAAGATCTGACTGGTCCTTATACGTGAGGGTGTCCCTTTTTGTTCGCAGATCCGTCGCTGAACTCCAACATGTCTGCTGGCTCCAACATGTCAGACCACTGTACCTTCTCCTGTCCTCCTTCGGTGGTGACAATCCAGCCACCTCCTTTCATCCTCACCCTCCCGGGTCCTTCCATCTGTTGCCCTGACCAGCCTCTGTGCATCGAGCAACAAAATCCATGTGCCGTCATCAAACAGCACAGTCCGCTGCAAACAATTCGGGCTTCCAGCTTTTACGCCCGAGAGCTGCCAAGCACTCCCTACAGCCCTAGCATTTACCGTTTCTAGACCCAAGGAAGAACTGTGATGATCTTGGTTTGTTTCACGATCTTTCAGGAAGCTGAAGACCTACTGTATCCTGATCTGATTTTGTTTATTGGAAGCTTTTCTCGCAATAAGATGCTCACTTCATGTTTATCCCCTGCTTTGGGGGCCTTCCTTGTTTCTTGGAATTGCTAAAAATAAATGAGGGTGATTGAACAGAGACGTTCTTATTGTGTAAACTCTGAGGAACCTTGTGTGAGAGCCAACATCTTGCCATCTAGCTTCTTCTTTTCAGTCACTTAAATACTTGAGGTCGTAACATCAACATCGTAACATCGTAACACCCTCATTCCCAAGGCGCTTAAACTGCCAATGCAAATGAGTATGTAAATCGTGTAATACCAGTAAGCGTACACACTTCACTAGGCAAATCTGACTTGTACAACAAATCTTTTCCAGCTAATGCGGTGATAGAATTCCACCACCCAATCTTCTCACATGAGATATCCCAGTGAGGCATGTTGTTTATGCACAAGAAGTCTGGGGTATTAGGGCCCTAATTTTCTGCAATCTGGGTTTGAGGTTGAGCTGACATCCTATTAACCTGGTTCATCAAGCAAAAAAGTAACTTGGTTTTCACTTAGCTATGCCTTCAGAGATTTCTGGAAAGTATATTGTGGTTTGTAGATCTTAAGCCTGGCTGGACCCTCATGGAGAAATACGAGGAAGTTTTTTTTTTACTTGCGCTAGCTTAAATCATAGTTCCACACCTATGAGAAAAATGTGATCCACCCACTGCACAAAACCATAGTTCATTTTTAACCGTAGTTTATGGCATAGACCGTAATGTTATCGAATGTCAAATGACAAAGATGGGTTTATAATGACTTGCTAAACTGATGCCAAACCATCCAGTGGTCAATTTGAGAATGAAACGAGCAAACACACTATTCTGAATTCTCTGGTCACATGACCTACAATCTCTTCGGATGATCCTAAGTGGATTTATCAAGGGAACATCTGCCAGCATTTAACCCCACTTTATAAAATATAGTTCTTTTTTTTTTAAACAAAACACGGTTAAAGTCCCCTATTTGATACAGCTTGTCAGGACATATTCCTACACCCTAGGCAAACACAGAGAGAAATTTTGGAAAATACTGATCCTTTCAAGAAAAGGCAGCACAGAAAATACTCTGCTACATACCTTTTCTGCTTAAATATTGAATTTCAATATCAGTAGCTGGTGAGGAATTCTGGAAGTTGAAGTCCACACACCTTAAAGTTGAGCAACTTTGCTGTAAACAGCTATGGGCCCAGTAGATTATTTTAAAGTTTCTCTCCAAAACTGTTTACTGATGAATTTCATTCCAGGGAATGGAAGCGAAGAATAAAATGTGGTTTGGCTCATGTTTAGTTTTTATCTAAATAACTTGTTTAATTGATTGCTTCCCTCCTACGTTACATCAGTGCTTTAACACTGTTCTCGATGCCTAAATATGGGGCTACGATTTTAAATAAACAAATAGCACGTATCTCGCATCATTGTGGTAGACCACACAACCCTGGAAGGCACTTCAAATTTATTTAAAACAGGGAGGGCAAGGTGTACGCTTCTCCTGTCCAAAAGGCAGGGTGGTTTAGTGGTTAGAGTATTGTGCAACCAAAGATAAGGGAGACAAAAACGTGTTGGCGTTTTTCCTAAAAAAAAATTCTCCTTTTTTATATCTCCTCTTCAAATCAACCTCTCCAAAATGTGCTCATCCCAACAAGTTGCGATAAGAGTTGCGGCTTGTAAAACTGGTGCCCAATTTGTTTCCTTTTCTTCTTTTTCCTTTACCAGTTTTTCCCTCCCCGGTCGTGCCTCTGAAATTATAAACTTGGAAAGTGCGACTGCTTTTGCCCATAAATTGAATTTGCACCAATTCCGTGGAGAATTTTTTTATCATTAGCAGACCCTTCCCCTCGCATGTCTTTAAAAGGCAAAATTTTGACAGCTGAGAAAGACGCCTGGATTACAATTATCCAAGAAGGAAATTGAAAATTTAGCTAAAGAAATCAAATACATCTTCCTGGATCTTAATTCCAGCATGGATTCTCCGGCTGCAAATTTTCTATGCAACCTGGTGCATTTGTGAGAGTGCACCCTCATGTGGTGGCAGCTGCTATTTGCAAAATTGAGACAATCTGAACTGGTGGAACGTATAAAGACATTCATATCAAGAGTCCTCATCCTGCAACTATAGATCCAGAGTTTTCTTTCCAGCAAGATCTAATATTCCCTCCCCGTGGCTTCCTTTTAGCCAATGTCTTGAGTTTGATTTCTTCATTTAGAAGTAAGAGATCCAGCTTTGAATTCCTTTGTAGAGCTTCTACATCTGGGCTGGAAAATTCCACACAATGGCCACTAGAGGGAAGCAAAACATTTTTCCATCTCTCTTTTTATGGCCCTCTAGTGGTCAACTGGAGCTTTGCAGTCCAGATTGGTTTGGAAACTACTTGATGTGGGTTCTCGTTTGTGGTTGTCTGAGTTTTCTCTCACACACACACACACACACATCTCACACACCCAATTCTGAACGACTTCATGATTTATAACAGTTTGGGGGCCTTGGTAGAGCATTAGGAGGAAAACAATGAGGAGAACATCAGGATGCAAAAGGAAATTTAATCAGAAGAACAAAAGAAATAATAAAGTATTGGTTCAATTTTAGCTGCAGATTAGGTTCAAGGTAGCTAAGAAGAAACACGAATCTTAATTTGCTGTAGCAAATATCTGTTGTTTATAAATATGCTTTTGAGTGTTTATGGATTCTATTCAAACACAGTTTTGGAGTCTGTAGGAGTGATGTGTCTACATTTCCCCAGCAGGCTAGGTTCACGATCTCTATCACTTCCTCCAGTCCAGAAAGTACCAGCAGAACTCAGAAAGGAAATTATTTCTTTTTGGGGGGGATGCCATCAGAAGAGAGTAAAGGAAGACAGAAGAGTCAGCTGAAACCTAGTCTAAGATTTCAGACCTGAGTTTATGTTCTTAGAAGACAATGGTTATATCTGAAGTCCATCACTGTAAATGTAGCATTCAGTTTCATGTTTTACTTCTCCAGTTGTTTGGGGACTTCTGAGTTATTTCTTCCATGTTCAGTAACAGGACTAGAAGTCTGAAGGGCCTGGCATCACAGCCAGGGTCCCTCCATACGATCCTCCGTAAGATCTGCTGCTGAAGCCACCACTTCTGTATCCATCCCCTCCACCAACAGAGTACCCGATCCGTCTGTATCCACCAGAACCATGTCCTGTGTAGCCATAACCACCTCCATATCCACCAGAACCATATCCTGTGTGGCCATAACCACCTTCATATCCACCAGAACCATATCCTGTGTGGCCATAATCACCTCCATATCCACCAGAACCATGTCCTGTGTGGTCATAACCACCTCCATATCCACCAGTACCATATCCACCACTGCTGTAACCACCACCATATCCACCACCACCATACCTAATGCTACTGCCATATCGGTGGCTTCCACTCATTCGTCGGCCACTAGTCCAACCGCCTACTGTACTGCCCCTTGTTCCACTAAGGCCATAATTCCCACCAGTGACACTCACTGTTCCGACACTGCCTCTGCGACCACTCATGCTGCTCCCTACTCCACCACCGATAGTGCCTCCAGTTCCAATGCTACCTCTCCGTCCCCTGACACTAACTCCTGTTCCGCTACCTCCACCCAAACCTCCTGTGGTGATCCTTGCTCCACCAGAGCTCAAACCACCATGCATGGTGCCCTCAATTCCACCAGTGCCTAAATCACCCTCAGGGATGCTGCCTGTCCCAACACTGCCTCTCCGAACACCCATAGTGTCTCCTACTCCACTCCAACCAACTGTAGAGCCCCCGGCTCCAATACTGCCTCTCCGACCACTCATAACTCCACCTTCACCACTGCCCAAATCGCCACCAGTCATGCTGCCCATCCCAACACTGCCTCTCCGACCACCAACAGGGCCCCCTAATCTGCTACCTCCACTCCAACCTGCTGTGGTACCCCTTGGTCCACCAAGGCCCAGACTACCTCTGGGTCCAACAACTCCTCCAATGCCCAGACCACCACTTCTGGGCCCACCAAGCCCTCCAATGCCCAGACCACCACTTCTGGGCCCACCAAACCCTCCAATGCCCAGACCACCACCTCTGGGCCCACCAAGCCCTCCAATGCCCAGACCACCACTTCTGGGCCCACCGAACCCTCCAATGCCCAGACCTGTGGGTCCTCCAGTGCCCAAACCACCACCTCCTAAACCACCCACACCTCCTACTCCACCAACACCCAAACCACCACCCATCCTACTCCCTATTCCACTTCCACCACTCCAGCTACCACCCCAACCTCCTCTTCCAGGGCCCAAAGCACCCATACTCCCTCCAACAGTACCCTCAATGCCAATGACGCCGCCATCTCTCACCCCCATGCCACCAAAGCCTGCACATGGATTGTGTTGTTCAATGCCAAAGGCTTGGTCAGGGCAGAACAATGCCGGTCCTGGGATATTCAGGACAAAAGGAGGTGGCTGAATTGTGACGGTTGAGGCAGGACAGCTGGCGTAGCACTCGGACATCATTGTGGAAGGGCTACTGCTCTGAAAGAGAAGAGTGAGAGACACGGGCTTAATTCAGCAGACATTTTTCTCAGAAGACCAATGGAGAAGAGTTTCCCTGCTGATGCAGTTGGTAGAAAGAATGCTAATGAAATTAGCATTAGTCAGAAGTACTATAGAATACACTTTACACAATTTCAGAATTAATTCAGGCGCAATTCAGGAACAGGAACAATACAGGACAAAGTGTCTTTAAAGGAAGAGGAGAATCATCCTCCTTTTTTGACCCACCATCTGGTCCACAGATTGGAGGGCATCACCCCTGAGTTTGGCCAGGGGTGAAGAGAGTTCCTTCCAACAAGATCTGGAGAATCATAGTTGGGCCAATACTTCAGGTTCTTCAAAAGCCCTACCGTGTTTATTGTGATGGTGAATGGTCCAGCTTGGGCATCGATCTTACCTTGGTTCTTCAGGGTCTTAAAACTCTAGAAACGTGGACTTCTTTTGCTGCTGCAGTGAAAAGAGAGAGATGCAAGCTAAAGCATCCATTCAATTGTTTCAACAAAGTGGTTAAATCTCCTTCTAAACATTTCCTAACTGGGAACATTGCCAGTTCCTCAGAACCCAAAGACACGAAGAAAGTGCAAGAGAAGTGAAGTGATGGGGATCCATCTCAAAGACATCCCCTGCTCTTCATTCAGATCACCCCCGATCTTAGGGTAGAAGACACCAGCTCCGACTTACCTCGTTCTTCTTGGTGGAAGGATCCAAAGAGTAGCAAGAGGTGCTGATGCCTCTTGGTCCACCACCAGCTTCTTATACCTCTTGATACACCACCAGCTGAGCATGACTCACCACTGGGCTCCATGCCAGCCATTGACAACTGAAAAGAAATTAGAATGAAGAAATCACCTGCGGTGGACTCCCCCAAAGATTGATTATCAATGCAACAGCAGCAAACAACTGTTGGGTTGCGTCTTTGCTCAACTTTCCTTCTCTTCCAGATGCAGGATAAGGTCTCCACCCAACAAGGTTGCCTAAGAAGATTAATGAATTTTTGGCCTTAATACTTTAAATGTTGGGGTATCTCACTTATGCACAGCTGCATAAGCACCTCGGGTACCATCCCAAATGTGTCACTGCCTACTCCAATTGTTCTTAATCACCAGATGCATCTGAATTCATGGGAGATCTCTTGGTTCCATTTCTTGAAGACGCCCAACCACGTCTGCAAATTCAACACAATTGAACAGCAGACAATTTGGGATCCCGAGTCAATATAAATCGTAAGGATACAAGCGACAAAGTCACAGCCATACAGTCCCAAGTGGGAGGGGATGGGCGATAAGGGGTGATGAGAAGATTAACAGTAATAGTAGTGCAGACTTTGTAAAGAGTTGGACAGTGTTGAGGGAATTATTTGTTTAGCAGAGTGATGGCGTTCAGGGGGAAAATTGTCCTTGCGTCTAGTTGTTCTGGTGTGCAGTGTTCTATAGCGTCGTTTTGAGGGAAGGAGTTGAAACATCTTTACATGAAACATGTAAATAAATCATTATTAGTAAATAATTTACTAATGCACCACACAATCCTGGCCACTACTTTCAAAGCAGGGAGGCCAAACTTATGGAGAAGTTGTTTGTGGTTGAGCAATGACTAGAAATGCCCTTGAAGGACAAATATGTAAGATCCTGATACCATCTCTGTTCAGATAATACAAGTAGTCCTTGACTTATGGCCATGATTGGACCCAAAATTGTTGTTGCTAAGTGAAAAATGTGCTAAGTGACTGTTTTGCCCCATTTTATAAAACATAACTTCTTGCCACATTGGTTAAGTGATTGTTAAATTAGTAACACCCTTGTTAAGCAAAGTCCTGGCCTCCCCATGGACTTTGCTTGTCAGAAGGTCGCAAAAGGAAATCACTTGACCCCCGGGGCACTGCAACCATCATAAACGCAAGTCAGTTGTCAAGCATCAGAATGTAAATCGCATGACCATGGAGATGCTGCCACGGTCGTAACTCAGTTTTTTTCCACTTTGAACAGTCGCTTGGTGAACTATTATAAATGAAGGACTACCTGTATAATTTTAGACCTATACAGAATTGGTTACTTGGTCTGGCCTACCTTATAAGGTGGACAGGAAAGACTATCTATTTAATTTTGTTGATTTGATTTGTCAGTCGCTTGCAAGATGATAGGTACAAGTATAAACATGAGTAAAAATGCAGGAAATATAGGTACAAACCAATGGGGACAATAGGACAGGGACAGTAGGCACGATGGTGCACTTATGCATGCCCCTTACAGACCTCTTAGGAATGGGGTGAGGTCAATAGTGGATAGACTAAGTTAAAGGATGATTAAAGCAGAGAAAGGACAGTTAAGAAGACATTTCTCAGCATTATATCAGGTTGAAATTTATTCTTGCCGTGCAAACGGCGTCCTATTTTCTTGAAGGCAACCTTGATAGAAAGCAAGGTCAACCGTTGAACATGGGCTCCTACCTCGCAAACGCAAAGTAAACTTTTCTCCGCAGAAACAACCTGCTCCGTGTGGCTTTATGCAACCACAATCTGTCCCAACTGGAGGGTGTTTTTTTTAAAAAAAGATATCTATTAAAGCTATCTTGAATTATCTTGAAGACTACCTCCACACCTTTGTCAGCTGGTGCCCCACTCTGAATGAATCAGACTCTGATTATATTTTGATTTGAGCAAAGAGATTAAGGTAGGGGTAATGACCCAGTTGAATCCCGAATGAGCAATGCCTGAGATACACCCAACTTCGAGGAGTTCAGAAGATGTGTAAAATTGATACTTCCCATCGGTGAGAAGCTTAGGCCAGGTTGATCAGCCTGCCAGACTTCTGGATCACCCAGCTTAGGTTTGATAGTTGGGTGGAATCATCACCTTATCTAAGAAAACAGCTGCACACTTTTTTTCCTAGGTCCACGTGTCCCTGTTATCCCAATTTCAGCCACCACCAAAGCCTCCTGCTTTTCTTCCTCGCTGTCCTAACATGTAGGGGAGTCTGGTTATTTGTCTTGCATTTTGAAAGTCTACCTTCAGATCACTTGCACAAGATGGAGAACCAACACACTGTTCCCAAACCTGAAGAGAAAGTCCCTCTAAATTTTTAGAACTGGTGTTCCAACTGGTGGAGAACCTCTTGTAGATCCTACCACAAAAGGACCGTCCCAGAGAGAGCTTCTCCATTCTCAAAACGGTGGCCTTGATTTCATGTCCATCCACCAGGGTCCATCTTATGAGAAGACAATCCTTGCCAGTTCCTTTCCTTAGAATCTAATTCTATCTCCCTCTCTTCTGACTTGGTGGAAGTGATGTTCCAATATTTACAATGTTGAAGAATGTCTATATTCCTTTCTGTCTTAGTCTTGTGTGCGATTGTCTTCCAGAGCTACTTATTACTCTCCCGTTTTTCTCTGTAGGAACAACCCTGTGAGGTAGGTAGGTTCAAGAAATTGTGGCTGAACCAGAATCATCCAAGGAGCTTTCACTGTGACCCGAGTCTAAGTCCTTCATCCCTTCCACTATGCCACACAGATTTTATCCTGTTTGATGTTCTCCGGATCAAAGAAGGCTGCCCTTTTGTATCTACTATTCAGGGCCGCTGAATAATTTTGGTATATTCCCTTTCCTCTGAAATAGCATCCATCCTGAGATCTGCAGGACTCCATCTCTGGTGGGTTTGAAGAGGCCAAACTCAGAGAAACGAATGTCTTCCATTTCTGCTCAGGTATGTCAACAGTAGCTATTTTAAACCAGCTTCAATATTTCTCAATCAAGGACGGAAGGATGAGCTATGTCAATTTGTGGTTAGAGAATCTCCCAGGAGAAGATATCTAGAGGAGATACACAGGAAGCCCTCATTAAGATGTTTATTGTCCTTCAAGTATCATTTTATAAGTCTTATTCCCTTGCCCAAGGCATCTTACATCAAGCAGAGAATCTATGCCACTGTCATCAGGGGACATCTGCTAGGATGACTCCTTCTTCAATCTTCTGAGAAGGCAGTTGTCCATCCAAAGGGGGACAGCGGGAAGAAGGAGGAGGAGGAGGAGGAGGAGGAGGAGGAGGAGGAGGAGGAGGAG